TTTTCTGTTTATTTTAACCCGACTCTTTTTTGATATTCTCGTAATGAGAAGCTGCTACTATTTTATGTAAAAATACTTTATATTGAAAATATACTTAAATAAGTACTTAAAAATACTTAAATATTGAAGGTCAAATTTAGTATGGCTGGTGAATATTATGATAATATCGATGTGAAAAATGAAGATAATGTTAATAATGGTGGTAATGATAATTATTGTGTCAGGGAAAGTGAAAATGGTTAGAATAGTGACAATAATGATAATTATAATGGTAACAAGGATTATAATTGTGATAATTATATCAACAACATCAATAATGTGTAACAATGAGAGTAGCATTATCAATAATAATAATCTTAGTAATTAACAATAATAGTAGTAGTAGTAGTAATAATAATGATAATGATAATATTGATAATAATAATATTAAGAATTAATTGTGAGGATGATCATCACCATGATAATAGTAACAGTAACAATGATAATAATAATAATAATGATGATGATAATGATAATAACAATAATAATAATATTCATGATAACAACAACAACAACAATAATAATAATAATGATAATAATAATAATAATAATAATAATGAAGAATATGGAACATATATGAAATATGAAAGATATAAAGCAAAGGAACTCCATGGGAAATTCATCAGAGATAATGAAGACGGAAGAAACGAACTTACGTGGGATTGGTTGAAGAAAGGAATCATAAATAAAGAAACTGAAGAACTAATAATGGCTGCACAAGATCAAGCCCTAAGAACAAATGTCATCAAAAAGTACATCGATAAAGCTGATATCTCACCGATTGTGCGGAGACAAAGACGAAACCATCAGTCATATCATCACCGAATGTAGTGCACTAACTCAAAAACAGTACAAGAACTGGAGACATGATAAGGTTGCGCAGATAATTCATTGGGAGTTTTGTGGTATAAGTGGTACGATCACGAACCGGAGGGAGTGATAGAAACAGAAAGGTACCGTGGGACTTTAAGGTACAAACAGACCACCAGCTTGAACATAATCGACCAGATCTCGTGTTTTATGACAAACAACAGCAATCTTGTCAAATTATTGATGTAGCATGCCCATCTGACACCAGGGTGGAGAACAAGATGAAGGAAAAAGTCGACAGATATCAAGATCTAAAGAGAGAAATCAAGAGAATATGGAAATGTAAACAAGTCGACATCATACCAGTGGTGATTGGAGCCCCAGGAACCATCCATCGTGACATGACAGAATGGTTGAAGAAGTTAGAGATGCATGAACTAATTGGAAAGTTTCAACAAGCTTGTATCCTAGGAACAGCAAGGATACTGAGGAAAGGCCTTGACACCTAAGGCGACGCGAAGCCGCTTGGTGTCTGGTGAAAACTCCTGCAACATCAGCTGTGCAAAAGAAGATAATAATGATGATGATAATAATAATAATAATAATAATAATAATAATAACAATAATTCTAGCAGTAATAATAATAATAATAATAATCATATAATCATAATAATAATAATAATAATAATAATAATAATAATAATAATAATAATAATAATAATAATAATAATAATAATAATAATAATAATAATAATAATAATAATAATAATAATAATAATAATAATAATAATAATAATAATAATAATAATAATAATAATAATAATAATAATAATAATAATAATAATAATAATAATAATAATAATAATAATAATAATAATAATAATAATAATAATAATAATAATAATAATAATAATAATAATAATAATAATAATAATAATAATAATAATAATAATAATAATAATAATAATAATAATAATAATAATAATAATAATAATAATAATAATAATAATAATAATAATAATAATAATAATAATAATAATAATAATAATAATAATAATAATAATAATAATAATAATAATAATAATAATAATAATAATAATAATAATAATAATAATAATAATAATAATAATAATAATAATAATAATAATAATAATAATAATAATAATAATAATAATAATAATAATAATAATAATAATAATAATAATAATAATAATAATAATAATAATAATAATAATAATAATAATAATAATAATAATAATAATAATAATAATAATAATAATAATAATAATAATAATAATAATAATAATAATAATAATAATAATAATAATAATAATAATAATAATAATAATAATAATAATAATAATAATAATAATAATAATAATAATAATAATAATAATAATAATAATAATAATAATAATAATAATAATAATAATAATAATAATAATAATAATAATAATAATAATAATAATAATAATAATAATAATAATAATAATAATAATAATAATAATAATAATAATAATAATAATAATAATAATAATAATAATAATAATAATAATAATAATAATAATAATAATAATAATAATAATAATAATAATAATAATAATAATAATAATAATAATAATAATAATAATAATAATAATAATAATAATAATAATAATAATAATAATAATAATAATAATAATAATAATAATAATAATAATAATAATAATAATAATAATAATAATAATAATAATAATAATAATAATAATAATAATAATAATAATAATAATAATAATAATAATAATAATAATAATAATAATAATAATAATAATAATAATAATAATAATAATAATAATAATAATAATAATAATAATAATAATAATAATAATAATAATAATAATAATAATAATAATAATAATAATAATAATAATAATAATAATAATAATAATAATAATAATAATAATAATAATAATAATAATAATAATAATAATAATAATAATAATAATAATAATAATAATAATAATAATAATAATAATAATAATAATAATAATAATAATAATAATAATAATAATAATAATAATAATAATAATAATAATAATAATAATAATAATAATAATAATAATAATAATAATAATAATAATAATAATAATAATAATAATAATAATAATAATAATAATAATAATAATAATAATAATAATAATAATAATAATAATAATAATAATAATAATAATAATAATAATAATAATAATAATAATAATAATAATAATAATAATAATAATAATAATAATAATAATAATAATAATAATAATAATAATAATAATAATAATAATAATAATAATAATAATAATAATAATAATAATAATAATAATAATAATAATAATAATAATAATAATAATAATAATAATAATAATAATAACAATAAACGGTTTCCATAAACATGTCCCGGGATTCTGAAACAAACAAATACAAGGCAGATATCTTTGTTTGTATATAGGAAGAAGTTTCTTCGACAGGTTTCGGGAAACTATGGACACTGAAGACATGCAACCCCAACCCTGGCAGGGGGAGTGCCAGAGACAGACTCAGCTGTCCAGATGAAATTCCGGGCCCAACCCTCACGTGCATCAGATCATAATACAAATGACCATCCGTCGCCTCAGTAGACACGAGCATAGAGTGTAGTCTTTCTACCCTGCCATTTGTTACCACCCCAAGACGAAATTCGCAACACTTGTTAAAGTCGAAATACCTCCAAAGATGGAACTTCTTTGTCTTGTCGTCTCCTCCATCATCAAGAAAGTCTCGAATTACCGATGTCTGATGATCAATCTCATCCGATATCTGCCATTGTCTTTAATCCGTCTATAATGGGCGTCACGAGGTCAGAGGTCATTGTCCCTACCCTATTCCTTTCATCCTGTCTTGGACTACTTAACTGTATAGTATCCAAGCGTTTCTCTACGTCCTGAAGCCAGGCCTGGAGCTCAAGCAAAGGCCCTGCAAGTCGTGCCCACTCTACTTGTATACGTATGATCTGCATTGACGAAGTGTCGAGGACGCGTCCCTCCGGCATGAAAACGAGCCGGGTGCTCCGACTCCATCCGGGCCTCCACTCCCAGAATAACCTGAAACACAGCCTAGCATGAGCATTGCATCATGGAAACAAGAGATCCACACCAACGTCTGCCCCTTAATTACTATCCACCCGGGAGCTTCCTTCCTGCTCCTCAGAGTCAGTAGGGTCATGAATGGGATATGGCCTGTTTGCATTTCCCCTCTGTCCTGGGGCAAGGGATGTCTCCAATTTTAGCCTCTCACAGCCTCCGTAACTTATATACCATTTCACTAACCCTATCTATCACCCAATAAGGCCCCGTAAATAGTGGCTGTACCTTTTTGCTTAACCTAGGCTTTGGTAAAGCCTGAACAATACCCGGTCACCCTCCACTAAGGGACAGTGTCTAGCCCGAGGTCTATCTCGCGGCCTTCGCTTTATCTCTTCCTCGGTGAGATACTGACAGCGCTTGAAACCCCTACTACCTATCACTCGAATCTCTTGAGAATTATTCTCCAAATTATACCATGGGGTCGTCCCTCTGCAGATAGCATATATGGTCATTTCGGGTCACGGTGCTTCATAGAAAAAAACGGAGAATCCGAAATTATCCGATAAAGCATCCACCTCTGTGAGAATATACTTAAGCTCTTCTGCTACTGGGAAAGGACCCTCTAAATCCACGTGAATTCTCTGAAAAGGTTCAGTGACCTCTGGACCCCTCCCCCCCCAGCCGTATCGGATAACTTGGAATTACAAATCGCCTCAGGCAAACCCTCAGCCCCGAAATATCTGATCCCCGAGCCTCGTCTGAATCTGTAGGCTCACCATCTCTCGACCTTACGAACCACCGATGAGGAGAGCTCCGACCCGTCAGATACCTACAGATGTCCCGGAAGGAGCCGTGACCGCTGTCTTCTGCGCTCCCCTATACTCTACAGACCACTGTATAATAAACCCTATCGCGCTAGACTCAGTCGTCTTAGTCTCCGAGCCCTGCAATAGTACACGAACAAGATTCTCCAGAATCCCCGGTAAATCGCTCACCGGAACTAGGCCTTCCTTACCTACCGTAGCGACAATATCGTCTACAGCAGCCGGTACCCGCGCCTCCAAC